GCAAGACTCCAAACCTTTCAAGTGGCCTTTGTGCTTCTGATTCTCACTGTACATCTGGCGGAAGTAGCCAAAAGTGCCAATACCACAGACTGAGGCTACCTTGGTTTTTTCTCCACCAGATTCATTAGTCTGACACTTTAATCTCTGGCAGAGTCTTGACATAGGCAATAATGTAAACAAACATTCTGCTGGAGGATAACACATGTAGCTTGAAGTCTAACTATCAATGATGTCCTTGTTCCCAACTGAAACTCTTGGTCCTGGCCTTTACATGTCCATCTCTGTTAGCATTCTCATATTGTGAGCTCCAACCAGAATCTCCCATCAACTTGGCTTACAGCATTCTAATGCTTCCCTTGCCACCATCTCCAAGCATTTCCAAACCTCTTCTACAAGTCAATTACAAAGGCTTCTGAACCACATGGTGATGAATAGTCACAGAAACAGCCACACTTTAGGCACTGAAATCTGTCTTGGTCACTTCCTTTCAAGAGACAAAACACTCTATACCCACAACTTAAAGAAGAGGCTTATTTTGCTCAGGGCAAAATAAATCCTTCTAGAGGATTCAGTCTGTAGTTAGCTGACACCAAAGCAGGCTCTGGTGGAAGAAAACCGTACATGTTGTGGTGGCCAAGAAGCAGAGAGAGAGAGAAGGAAAAAGCCAAGTAGGGATATATACCTTTTGTCTTTGTTCCTTTTTTCTTACTGAGACAAAATACCTAACACTCACAAGTGAAGCAACAAAAGCTTAGCTTATTATTAACTTATTATTTGGATTATAGTTTGTAGAGGTTTCAGTGCATAGCTGTCTAGCTACAAGGCAAGGTGGTATGACAGAGAGAAATTGTAAAAGAGAAAGAACCCATGAAAAACCATGGCAGGCAGAAGGTAGCTGGCAGCAAAGTAGCAACTAGCAAAAAGAGAAGCTTTTTTCTATTCCTTCAATCATATCCAGGTTACCTTTCCCCTTAGATGAGTAGCGCTCACACCCTTGGGCCCAGCCTTGCAGCATGGATCAGTCCCAGTGTCACACACTGTAGATCCAGCCACCTGTGAAAAACCCCACCGATGACCACATGGGGCTTTAAGGGGAACATCCTGACATAGCCCATAATGTCTTTCAAGGTCACATCTCCAATGCCCCACTTATAACCAGCCCCTACTTCCTAACAGCATATTCAGCTGTCAGTTTCGGTGGATAAACACATTTCCACCAGCTTGTGCCCACCACTGGTACATATGTGACTGTCCCATCAGGTGGCATAGGATAGTCATGCATATATCACTGGTGGTACAAGCATTCTGATGGACAGCCACGCATGGGCAGCCTCAACATGAGTGTGTTTGTGCACTGAATAGTATCCTCATGGTCCATGCTGTGATCCCATGGGCTTTGGGGGGAATATTTTATACCTGAAGTATGACAGTCGCTCCATCCATCCTGTTTTATATAACCTCTTTTTTCAATAATACCTTTTATTGGAATATTATATCTTATTAGTATTCTCTGATTTTCTCACCATTTTCATATTTCCACTTTTCATTTCTTTTTGGGAGCTACAAGTCTTCCTCTCATATGTGTTTATTTAAACTTTCTTGTTTGGTGTTTTCTGACTATTCTTTTTTTTGCACATTATTCTTGTTTTATAGTTCCAAAATATTATCTCTATGGGAGCATCAATTGTAATTTTTTTAAATTCTTTCTTCTGAGTTACTTTTACTTCTTGTTTTGTTTAATTTCATTGGAGAATTTTATAGCTATGATTAGCTTAAGCTATCTGTAGGTATTTAAGAGAAATTCTTAAATGTAAATGTGTGGAGCTTATTTATTCCTGTACTCATGGTTGGGTGTTGAGGTGCCAAGGTGGACTTTCACTAAGGGGCCCCCAGATGTCACTTCCTTTTAGCATTTGTGTTAGGTCATTCCATCTGTCCAGATGTGACCAGTAGTCTCTTGCCCTGCAATATGTAAGAGTGGAATACAAGCAGAAAATGAAGGTAACCCTCAACCTCTGTGCTTTTTCCCTGTGCTAAACTTCTTGGTCTGCTTAATCTCTCCAGAAAAATAACATCCAAGTGTGCTGCCAGAAAGGAAGCAGTAGAGAAATGATTGCTTAGTTGTCAGAGTAGGAGATTTCAAGAATGGGTGCAAGGTGGGGACTTTACTTTCAACTCATCCCTTTCTTTTCAAGCTTTCATTCTGTGTAATATTTTGTGCCTCTAATGCTGGAACTTTTCAGAAACCAACATCAGACAAACTCACTTATTGTTAGCTTCTACCTCTTCAGAAACCCATTGGTCCCTATGGGTTTATACCTTTTCAGTGCTTCTTAATAACGTTTTAGTGGCATTTTGAGGTTGACTTCATGTTTAATCAGGAAAATCATTCTTAAAGGATGTAAGAACATGCCTCGATCGCTTCACTAAAAAGTTAGTTTTTTATGTTTTGGGAGTATGTAATATTTCAGATTACACATTTAAGATTACTATAAAGAAATGACATTATTTACCACTGTCAAAGCTGTATCCTACGGAAATTAATTTGTAGAAATGTTCAGTGACCGGGCATCTGATGCATCTCTTCTCCCTTTTTCTTTGAGGGAAAACATTAACACTCATAAGGCAACTGGCTAAATTTAGAAAATTTTAATAACTTAGATTTTGTTTTCTCCAAAACTCCATCTCACCTCTATGGAAATTGACCCTATAAATAAGAGTTCTTTAATACCCTACTGTAACCAACTAAAGTAACTGCTCTCAGAAAACAAATATTAAATACCATTTTCTCTAGGATGACCTAAGAATTTAAACATAACATTTAAATCTGATGTAGTATCTTCACTAAAGCAGTTGTTCAAGCATGTTTCTTTTTTACTATGCATAATTCAGAATTGTGCTTCTATTTCTTTCTTCCAGAACTAAGGAATCCTTGCATATCTCTAAAACTGAGCTCATTTTTAGATTTAAGTTATGTTTGAACTAGTCAGCTTTGTAAACCTAGCATAAATGCAGCCAGCACTTTTAACATACTCCTAGAAAATACCTCCATTTGCTAAATAAGGAAGTGTTAACAGATTTTTAATACTGCTTCCTAAAAATCGTTATGCTGAGATGTTTCATGTGCCTTTGGCTGGCCAGATAGTTCAGCGGATGAAAAGCTCCTGCTTAGGCAGACACTGGGATTGGGTTTGATCCCCAGCCTGCTGTGTCAGCCCACACCCCCAGAGATTGAGACTGGGTGTGGTGGCACGCACCTATTATCTCAGCCCTTGGGAAACTGAAAACAGGAGGATCACTACGAGTTCCATTTGTGTAGTGAGACCTTGTACTAAATATATATTTTTTTTAGCAATGCATGTGCCTTAATCATATCCTTAGGAACATGAGCTTATTGCTGGCCTGCTCTGTAATTGGACTTTTCTGACCATTTGGACATATTAGTGGCCTTGGGCTCCTTTCTTACTGGCATGTACCGACATGCATCTACATTCATAAGACATCTAAATAAGAAAGGTAATGAATGATATCTTTCTTTTCTTTAGCCATGGTACAATTGCTTTTTGCAAGTTTTTTTATATAACTTAAAATTTAAGCCAGACTTGATTGTACTTGTCTGTAATTCCATAACTGTGGAGGCTGAGGCAGGAGGATCGCCATGAGTTTGAGGCCAGCCAGACTACATAAACAAATTTAAGGCCAGGCTGAACTACATAGCAAGACCCTGCTTCAAAAAAAAAATAAAAAAATAAAAATGAAAGATGAAATTTAAGATTCCCTTGTGTTTTTTTAATTATAAACCTTTTCAAAAATATATTTTATTTTTATTACTGGAGATCAAACTCAGGACCTTGCATTTACTAGGCAGGTGCTTATGCCACTGCGCTGTCTCCCTGGCCCCCAATTTTAAACCTTTGAATCTACTTTTCCTCTGACTAAAACTGAGTATAGAAATTGCTGATCCTTGGGACAGTGTCTTGAAGAAATTATGTTGCAGTTTACCTCTGTCTGGCTTGAGACCATAGGCATTATTAACCCATGGGCTGTCTGTGTTCTTTCATAGAACGATTCATCTGTGGCCATTTTAAACAGAGCCAGTGAAGATAGGATTGCTTTAGTTAGTAGATCACCAGCCTACACTCATTGGAATGGAAACTTAAGCAAGGGAAAACTCAGAGTAACTTGTACTTACCATTTATATGTTATTTGGCAGTGTTGTTTGAAAATGTTGCATAAAAGATCCAGCACAGGAAGCATTTTCTGTGCTTATTCCTGCTTATGATTAATAAATACAGAATCCAAGGCATTCTACTTTATAAATCAAGGTCTTAGTCCAGATTTCCTGTTTTTGTACCTTAAAAAGTAAAACTTGGGATAAAAATAGTACTAAACTGTGTAGATTATTCCAGAGTCATGGTAACAAGAAACAAAATAAATTACTCTGGATGCTATAGTAGAGACTGTTATCAGACCATCAGACATTGATTTTGTCATCGCTAATATAAAAACTCATTTGGTATAGCTAGTTTCACAAAAGCATAAAAATGTTGAAAAGAGGATAGGAATGGATAATGCAAAATAATAAGCCAGTGAGTTGGAAATGTAGGCTCTCACACAAGCAGCTTATGGAAAACCGTAGTCATTCTAGGCAGACTCTCTGCCACATCGTAATTTTAATTACGTCTATTTCTGCCTGTGTTTTATAGACTGGACACAGTCTCTTTAATACTCCATACACATCAAACACATGCATACACTCACTCACACATGTTGATCTTTGTTCAAGGACTTTCCAGTCTTAGTTTATCTGCACTTTCTGGCTTTCTCCAGTTCTCTCAGCTCAACTCCTAAATAATAAGCTCCACTGGGTGATCCAGCATCTCAGGCTGTAGATTACCAAGGTATTGTGAGGAATGCAGAAAATACTTGAAAATTCTTACTACTTTTTGACAGTTCATACATAACAAGATGAAAGCTTTCTCATTTGGGTTTCTTTATAGCCTAAAGAATGTTTCTTGATACAACCAAAGGAAACAAAAGAAGGTGCCACCAAGACCAGGAAGTGGAAAAAGGTAATAATTAATAATTTCTAACAATTGTATGGTCCTGTATGATATAGTTTCTGTCACATTTTTATACATCGTACCTTGATGAAGTATTATAAATCCCTACTTGATAGATTCAGTGACTTTCCCAAAGTCACAGAATCTGAGGCATTCTACTTTATAAATCAAGGTCTTTGTCCAGATTCTAAGATTCAGTGACTTTCCCAAAGTCACTAGTAATAAGATTTCTTGTGGGACTACAAATAAATTCTTATAACTCCTAGTAGAGTCTTGTGGAACACCATAAATCTTTGTTACCCATCCTGTGTTTTCCTTGTGGTTGGATGACAGACCTGGGTTTCCAATTCTAGAAGTTCAGAGTTGTTCTCCATTATGACCAGTCTGGATCTGCCCCAGAAAATAATTTAACAACCTTCTTTTCCTACACTTTCCTATTTTTTGAGACCTTGTATCTTAAAATATTAATAAAAATAAAATGATAAGCACATAGAAGTGATGTAAGGCATTTTTGCATATAATTTGGAATCATGATTTTCAACGAAACACCTCTTCTATTTTAATATTTGCCTCTAAGTATAGAGCAGACTCTTACTCCTACACAAACTTTTTATGGCACAGTCCTAGAGAGTAAGGTTAGCTTTCACCTTCCACCACACTTGTGAAAACAGCAGTGTAATTCTCTGTCTGCCAAGAAAGTTCTACTGCTGAAGTCAGCAGAGGAAATATGATTGGGATTAGAGGAAAGAGAATGAACTCAAACCGGTTACTTAGCAGCAAGCTTTTAGAAAACCAAGAATGTGTGCATATGTTTTCTTTGCTCACAAATGGTCAAAAAGGAAGACAGGAGGTTCCAAATTGGTTGAAAATTGGCAAGTCCTTTGAGAAGTGACTTTAATATCTCTTTGATAATTCATATACTAATGGCCTTCGGGAGTATTAAATTCTGGTGGCTCAAGGTCAGAATTATAGCTAGATAGGTTAGTTTGGCTGAGGTCATGCTAAAATATTGCCCACTGATGACATAGTTTTAAAAGTTAATTCCTTTGACAGGACCTTGACCATTCTTGGCAGCAGTGCAGAAATAAGGATATGGCAAGAGGGAAAAGAGCTGGGAGTGGAGGTAGGGCTCCTTCTGGATCTTTGGTGAAATTTAGGAAAATGAGAAGGGAAGTTTATGACAAAAATGAAATGAATGCTTCTGCGTTCACAGTATATTGGAGGCGTTAAATGAAAACATTATATGAATAAGATCAAATCACGACAGGTATTTGAAAGTATTTCCTCTAATATCTGCTCTACTTTCCATAGGGCCACTTTAAGATTGTTAGCCTCTTAAGACTTGAGAATCAGGAGTGTAAAGGCTACAGGGATATAATGCTGTGTTCATATTACTTCTGCAAGCTTAATTCTAATGCTATAAATCCAAATTGAGACTCAGCACCTCAAACTTCAGATAGGCAAGAAATTCTCAAAATGCTGCTCTTTTAAAAATATAGATCATTTAAAACCAAAGAGAGCCAGATGTAGTAGCCCATACTTCTACTCCTGGAAGGTGACAAATTTGAGGCCAGGTAGGCGGTTTAGTGAAGCTCTGTCTAAAAATAAAAAGGGGTGGGGAGGTAAACTGAGTAGCTTAATGCTAGAGGGTCCCAGAGGTACTTCCCACTACCACCCAAACGGGGGGTGGGGGGAGTAGTTCCCATAGCACCAAGATTCATTCGCTTTTATTGAAAAATATTATATAGTCTCCTGCAAAATTCAGTTCTTCCAGAAGTCATATACCAAGAGTTATAAGAAACCTTCACATTTACACTCAGCTATCACCAAAAGCTACAGTTTTAAATGCCAGAAGAATGATAAGCCAAATGTCATTCTAATACCTATCTTTCTATTGGTTTTTCCCTCTCATCATAGAAGAAAATCACTGATGTTCTTGCAAAATCAGAGCCAAAACCAGGGACACCTGAAGATCTACAGATGCTGATGAATAACTATTATAGCAGCAATCGCTCAGTGATTGAATTAGAAGAACTGAATCTACCAGGTACAGCCAGGCTTGAATTTTTCTAAGAATGAAAATCAAAACAGCCCATTTCTTCTTTGCTGTAGGTTATGGTTAAGTATTTTAACCAGTAAATGAATGTACTTCCCACATGCAAATACTCTTTCCTCAACCTAATGGTTTTAACAGTTGATTTCCTAATTAAAATGGCAAATAATATTTGTTGAATAGTGAGTTGTTATTGTATTTTTTGTATTTAAAAGATAAATTGTTGCATATGTATGCTTTGCAGACTCTTCGGGGAATAAGGTTTCCTAAGAAAGGTAGAAATTAAATTAAAATAAAGATAAAGCACACCTTCAAAAGTAAAGAAATGAAGGGCCAGCCTGATAGCTCAGCAGACTAAAGCCCCTGCTTAGGCAGAGTGCAGTGGCCAGGGTTTGATCCCCAGAGTGCTGTGCCAGCCCCACCCAGGAGGTTAGCGGAGATGGCGATTGAGACTAGGCGTGGTGGTGCACACCTGTAATCCCAGCACTTGGGAAGCTGAAAACAGGAGAATCACTACAAGTCTGATCTATGTAGTGAGACCCTGTAGACCCTGTCCTAAATACAGGAGAAAAAACAAAAAAAGTATAGAAATGAAACTTTGGTTGACTATAACTTTGCCATAATCAGCACCTTAACAGGAATTTCCTAGTCATGGCATTTTTTAGGGTAGTATTTGGGTTATAGCTCAAACTTTTTCAAGCAACTATCTAAATATAAGACCAAAATGCTCTGTATGTAGCAAGGTTTTTGCTAATCCAGGTCATTCTTTAAGTCTATTATAGTTTCATATCTGCTGCCTTAGAATATTCATAATTAAAAGTTGCAGCAAAATTAAAATAACAATTAATGTTAAAATTGCAATATAGCTGGGCTTGGTGGCACACAACTGTAATCCCAGCATACAGGAAGCTAAGGAAGGAGGATCACTACAAGCTAGAGGCCAGCCTGGAGTACACAGAGAGTCCCAGACCAGCCTGGACTGCATTGCAGGACCGTGTCTTAGAGAAGACAGAGATGGAGACAGAGAGACAGAGAAAACAAGCAAGCTGTTGTATTCTGTAATTCTTTCAAGGATTCAATAAAATAGATGTGATCATAAAAGCAAACCCTGGTTAGAGTACTCATACTTAGATGAGCTATTTATAAATACTAGGGATAATTGACTCTATTTTTAGAAATAGAGGTTGCTTGGTTTCCTTTTTCCATTACAAGTGTATGCCATATAGAAGCTTGAGAAGCTGCAAAACAGTCTGCTCCCTGAATTTTTGTAATTCTTTTGTGATATCCTTTGAGTAAAATTGCACATTGAGATTAGAGACATGAGTAACTCCTTTGTTTACTTTCCAAGAAAATTGCCTCTGGGGACCTGAGGAGTGCTTTGGTACAGGAGCAAGATATGTGGGGTTTTAGGCACACTGAGCCCAGATGGCTCCAGTGCAGTTAGAAGCCACTCTGCTCAGCACGCAGCTCCTCCAGTGTCCTGATGATTGAGGTACAGGAGCCAAGTGCTACAACCAACCTGCTTCTCAAGATCTAGCCAATTTAGTTCTTACTGAGTTGGGTCAGTTTTGTACTGGAAGGGTCAATTTTCCATTCTTAGTCTCTATTAGAGCATACTTGGACTTCAAAAAGGTTTATGAGTTAAGAGGACCACTGCTATTATGTAATCCCTGGAACATCGTAAACAGTGATTTTTCCAGAATTGTTGAGTGCTAAAGGTAAAAAGAAACTTTCAGGCAGTCTTCTAAGCTCCAGAGTGAGTTTGCTATTGTTTTATTAGAGTTGAGTAACAGATAAGAATGTATAATCATGAATTTGTTTAGAGAGGAAGAAAAGTGTGTTAGAAATTTAAGCTTTCATTTATAGTAGCGATATTGGGTGATCCTGAGACACAGTAAACTAAAGAATCATTAGAAGCTTGCAGAGAAAGAGCCCTTGTTACTATGCTGATGAACCAAGGAAAGAAAGGAAGACCATGCTAGATGAGAAGGGGCCTAAGCATTAGGGAGATATAAATAATAAAATATAATTCTTATTCAGTTTTTCAGGTGTCAAACTATGTGTCTGTAAGGCAGTAACATGTCTTCAGTTAATACTGTGCACGACACATTGTTAATCTCATACACATGGGCATTTAATAGGGTTTTGAGACAAGCATTACAGGAGCTAATTAGCCTCTGCTGTCTCCTGACATTGCAGAGTTGTTCAGAACAATGATTTTAAATGCTTCTAGGCAATTTTCTTTAAAAGCAGCCTATGTGGACCCTCAAGGGATTCTGAGTGACTTTGCCATGAAGAGTGTATCCTCAGAATCTGATCTTTTATGAAAAAAAACTAGCGAAGTGAGTCTGATTAATAAAAGCTTAGGGAATTATAGTTTTAAAGATCACCAAAAGCTTCACATCAGCATAAGGTTCAATTTTGAAACTGTTCACATCATGTGACTTACATGTGCTAGGTCACAGTATAAATTTGATTTAGTAATAGTTCATTCCCTTCTAGTTTGAGAAAGAGGTTGATAACCCTGATGTTGATTTTTTTATACATCAGGTACATTGCCTAATTGATAGTAGTGATTGTCTTTGGTTGACAAGGACCCTATTTTATTTTAATGTGTTGTCTTCAATGTAAGGTTGTAAAGTATTATATTTTGATATATTATTCTCACTTTTCCCAAATTTTCCTTTCCTTTTAGACATTTGTTCTAATATGTTGCTATACCTTTTAAAATAGGTGTATATGATTATAAAATGTCATGTTTCTGTATGTACATTTTAAATTTTAACTGAATGACCTTGTGTTTATCTTTATTGTCTTTGTTCCTTCATATGTTTTTCACATATACCTGTGGACTTTTTATGTACATTTAATTCATTGCTTCTAAATGCTCCATAGTATCCCACTGCTTTCATCTACCATGTATTACTCATCCATTTTCTCATGAATGGACCCTTAATTTGTCTCTTATGTGTTAGCATCACAAATATTCTCAAAATGAATATCCTTGTGTTGTCCTTCTACAGGCCACACAAGAATTTATTTCCATTATTTGCCCAGAAAGGGAATTTCTGTTATTTATGCTGGCATCCTTAGGTATATAATTTTAATATTACTGCTTTCCAGAATAAGTATGTCAGTTTACGTTTCCAACTAAAGCTGACAAGCATTCATATCACCCTGCATTCTCAACACTTGATATTACACAATCTTTCTAATGCTTGCCATTCCCGTTCAGTGCTTTTGTGTCATACTCTTTGATGACTAATGGGTTTGAGAATCTCTTACAGATTTGTTGGCCACTTCACTTTGCTTTTGTAATACTGCCTATTCCATAGATTTGAAAGATAAAAAAAATAAAAAATGTTTCATCAGTCTGTTGAGTGATACAAAAATCTTCTCTTTCACTACCATAAGAGATTATGAGTATTAGACTCAGCTATTCCCCCTTCTAGGGGTCTTTCTCAAAATAATTAAAGACATCATATTACAGTGAGGCATACATTATCCTGCTTATAGCAACATAACTTAGTATAGTAAATCATGGAAGGAGCCAATATATCCTTCAACAGATGATTGAGTAAGGAAAGTGTGGTAGTTATACACAGTGGAGTACCGCTCTGCCTTAAAGAAGGATAATGTTGAGTCATTTGTAGGAAAATAGATGCACTTTGAGACATAATATTAAGTGAAACAAATCAGACACAGAAGGTCAAATGTTGCATGGTTTCTCTTATGAGAAACTCAAAATGTAAAGAGCAAAATAGAAGAGATAACAAGAAGTGGGAAGAAAGACCTTTTGCAAGTGGGAAGGGGACCAAGAAATAGAAAGAAGAGAGATGGAGGGGAAGGAAAGAGGATAAAAAAACTGAGATGTGTTATGTACATGTACCCACTCCCCACTAGGAATTTTTTTGTTTGTTTGTTTGTTTGTTTTTGTTTGGTTGGTTTTTTTTTTTTTTTTTTTTGTGGAACTGGGGATTAGAACTCAGGCACTTTCGCTTGCCAGGGAAGCACTTACTCCACTGAGCCATCTCCCTGGCCCAGGAATGTAATCTTTTGTACTGCAGCATATACCAATAAAGACTTTAAAAAGGGAAAAAAGAATAAGTAAATAAATAAACAGCAAAATAGAGAAAATAGGGAAATAATATCTTTTTTAAAAGGAAAGTGAACCAAGAAATGGAGGAAGGGAAGAGGAAAAGAAGAGAGGAATGAAGATGAGTGTTGTGAACATGTACTAACTCCCCATGAGGAATGTAATCATTATATACTATAAACATGTATGAATAAGAACATTCTAATTGAAAAATATTATAGCCAGCTTTGTGGAGAGCTAAAACTTTTATTTCTCTTTGACGCTGCTATCTTAAGCACTTTAAAAGGCATGAGTTTTACTAAGTTTGTGTAACTTGTAAAGAATGCATCATTTATATTAAACAGGTTGGACTGCATGTTTGTAAAATTTTATGCCAAACATGTTTTTCATATTTCTAGATTCCTGTTTCCTCAAGGCCAATGACTTGACTCACAGTTTTTCATCATACCTAAAAGAAAGTAAGTAAACTTTGATTTTTGTAAAAAAAAATTATTCAACAGGTTATTACTCCAAAAATAAGATTTGTCTCTTTTAAAAAGCCTCTATCTTAAGTGAATTTTAAGCAGAGAATTTTTTGGCTGCATCTCAATTATTAATTTTTAACCTATTTAAATTTATACTTGCTTTAGTCTAGAGGTAGAAACTTTAATTTTGATCTCATTTTTGTTTCATAATGCATTACAAGTATTGGTCTAGGAACACAGAGAATAATGCTGTAGTATCGTGTCACCCAAAAATTCATTGTTTCACCAAGGACAAGCCACTCAGTCATCCCCTTGACTTCATTGTTATGTGAAAGACAAGAAGTTGGACCATGATTACTATATATCAGCTGTGAGATCCTGAAACCATTCACATTGCCAGAACTCAAAAATCTTCCAAAATCAATCTAATTTGAACTTTTCAGTATTATCTGTAGTCAGAGGGGCTGGGGAGATGGCTCAGTAGAATAAGCACTTCCCTGGAAAGCGCAAGGACCTGAGTTCAATCCCCAGTTCTGCCCCCCCCAAAAAAAGATAGATTATTAAAAAAAAATCCTCCTGTTGTCAGACATAACTAGATTGTTCATATCAAATTATCATCTCCTTGTGGCCAGTGTTGAAAGTTTAGACATAGAGACTTAATATTCTTTCAAACCATAAGCAGTTTTGATGATAACTGCCAGTGTAAGTGTAGGTAATAATAGCATCAATCCTGCTGGACTACACAAACTTTACAGTATATGTAAAATCCTCAGTGTACTGTGTAAGAAATGTTGGATATTATTTAAAGGTCAGTTCCATTTTATGTTTTATGATATATGTCACTTTAGAATTTAACATTACCAAGTTAGAATCCTTCTTATGTTCAGTCAAGTGTAGCTTCAAGGATCAGTCATGACTTAAAATATTGAAAATGCATTGGTATCAACTTGTTTACTTATTTCTAAAATTTTTAACATTTAGGTGCTCTGTATATTACGAATGTTGTGAATTAATTACATGTCATTCACTCTAGTATCTAGAAGAACCAGAAAATACAATTATAATGAACAGTGGTCATTATGTTCCTTTTGCTTAAATACTAACAAATAATTGGAGAATAGTCAGCTTTGGAAACTTCTGCATTGTAATCCCAGTGCTGGGGGGGGCTAAAAACAGATGATCACTACAAGTCTGAGTTGTGTAGTGAGACACTATATGAAATAAATTTTAAAAAAAAACTTTTGCTATGTTTAGACTATATTTCTGTGGATTGTTTTTTTGTTTGTTTGTTTGTTTGTTTTAGTTTGTCCTAAGTGGGTAAAACTTCGGAAAAAACACAATGAGAAGAAGTCGGTTCTGATGCTGATCGTTTGCAGCTCTGCCGTCCGAGCTCTGGAGCTCATTAGGTCAGAAGCTTCACCAATTCTATTTCTTAAGTGTCTAAGGAATAACTAAGGTGGCAATCTGATGTGAGGAGCTACAGCATAGAACAAAACAGGGTATCTGCCCTCATGGAATTTACATTCCAGTGGAGAGACAGACAGTAAGCAAGGAACCACACATTATAATGTTAGATAAAATGTTAAGTTATAAAGAGAAAAAATAAAATTATGGAAAAGAATTAGAAGTAGATAGGAACCATTTATAAAAGATTAGTCATAAAAACCTCTAAGGAGATAATTTTGAGAGGAGGTTTCAACAAAGTGAAGGGGAGAACAAAGAAACTGCAAGAGGATAGTTAGGACACTCCACTATGGGTACAAGACAGTAAACATAAAGGTGCTAAGATAGGATGCTATAGGAAAATTTTGAGTAGAGAAGTCCTGGGATTTGAGTCATCATTTCAAAGGATCTTTGACTGCTGTGGAGAAACACATTGTGGAGTTTGGAATAGAAGCTTGCCAGCAACAGCCAATTAGAAGGAAGACTGGGGGAAAACAGAGCTGGCTCAAAGCAGTAACAAGAGATGATAGAATGCCAAAGAATGTGCTTACCAAAATCTATATAAAGAAAACATCATATGAGATGTGGTCAAAAGTTACAGTGAATTTTTTTTTAAATTTTTAAATTCATTACAATAAAAGACACTCTACTATTTATCCTTCTCAGAATACTCGCCTTTGCTTTGAACACACTTATCCCATCATTCTTTGTACTTTCAGAAGCACATTTCTAAGTATTTTTAGTTGAGATGTCATGGCTGCCTCAGCGTCCTGAATGGGTTGAAGTTGTTTAAATTTATGGTCATTTTGACTTTGAGGGAGAGCCATAAGTTTGCACGGTGCCAGATCCAGTAAATAAAGTGGATGGCAACACACTCATGTTCTTATTTGGCAGAAATTTTCGGTAAACATTCAATCAATGCAAAATAATCAAAAACAGAGCAAATATTTAAATTGTTTTTTAAACAGTTTTGTAGCAAAAAAACCATTTCCAAGAACCATAGGATAAGTATGTTCAAAGTGAAGGGAAGAATCTAGAAGCTAACAAATGGCAATGTGTCTTGTTTTTAATTTTATAAATTTATACATTCATCATATCACTTTATCACCCCTTTGAATAAGGGAGAGAAGATACTGAACAAAAAAAAGTACCATATTCTTGAATAGAAAAACGCAATATTATTATATCTGTTTTACTTAGGATAATTGCAAATAGCATAGATTCCCAGTAAAACCTAATAGCATTTTTTAAACTAAGCTAGTTCTAAATTTATAAAGAAAATATTTAGTTGTAAGAAAATATACAACTAAAAATAAGAAGGAAAAAATTTATAATGAGCAAGGAAATTGTGAAAAAGAATACTAACAAGATGATGGTCTCCCTATCAAATGTATGTATTACAACGTCTCAATTATCAAACCAGCATGGAACTGTCACCTCCAGGGAAGATTGGATCAGTGGAAAAGAATAAGAAGTTGAAAAAACAGACGTACATGCATATGAAAATGTAGTATATGGCTAAGGAAAGGAATCAGAAATCAGGAGAGAAACATAGATTACTTAATAAATTGGTTTAGAGCACTACACAGCCGGCTCTAAAAAATGAAGTTAGATTTCTATGTCCTTTATTATACCAAGATAAATTTCATAAGGTCCAGACATTTAATTGTAAAAACTTTATGTTAAAGACAAGTTGCCCATGTTTTACACATCTTTTTATTTACTGCATTTTTGTGGAAGAAACAAAAAGGCTTCCATTGATTCAGGGTAAAGCTCAGCACCCTAGAGAAGAACCAACAGAGTAAGATAGGATTCACTGGGGGTAGCCCTCTGAGAGCCAGGCTCTGAGTCACACTCAGGAGACAAAACACAGGAAAATCCAAGTCAGGAAAAAAAGGAACATGGTCCACTATACTACGTTGCACTACGGTAGCCCCTCAAAAGTTACTTGGGTGTATTTTTATAAATGAAATAATCTAATTATAATTTTCTAAAAATCAAATATTAAACTTTAATAATTTTCCAACTCTTCTTTCCTTGCTTTTGCACACACACTAAATGGTGTCCTCCTCCCAGTAAAGCAAATGTTCCTTCCAGCTTGGTTCCAAACACAGTTGACCTTCAGTACTTCATTCTCAAGACAGCTGTGCTTGTTGGTCCTAAAATCAGAGCAGTTCACCCTGACTTTTCAGTGTTCTTGAAAGCCAAGAACCACAGAATTCATCTGTCATTGAAATAATAATGGCAGAGAGGTTCACCTAAAGGTGACCTCTTAAAAATAAGTTGTCAGATTGTTTTTAACTTTTAATGTATGTAAAGGGACATAAATGCACTGGGTTGTCACACTTCATTTACAAATTCTCACTGTTTTATTGTGTTTCCAGTAATATTATGATTCACTTCAAGAATAAATGATTTGCAAAAGGTGATTTCTGAGCAGGCAGGGCAAGCTCTATTTATAAAGACTAATGTTCAGTAACTCTAACTTTTTTAAGAACATTCGATCTCTTGAGGGATATGGCTGTGCTAAATTGTCTTCTAGTTAACCTTGCCATGAAGAAAGCCTACACATAAGTAAAACCTCACATCAAGAGAATAGGATGCACTATTTTTCAAACCTTTACATTTCTCCTGGTCAATATTTCTTAAAACATAACATATAAAGGAAAGTAATATTCCTAGTCATCTCCAAATATCAGGTAAAAATTTTTTTGTTCACTTACATCCGTTTCAACTCAAAACAAAATTTTAGGTTTCATGTAGAAATACTGACAACGAAGGAAATAGTGGTAATAAAAATGAATACAAAGTTTGAAAAAGCTCAGAAAATGAGGTGAAGTAGGGGCTGGTGCTCAAGATCACTTCTATAAAGTCCTGTTCCGCTGTGGCCCCAATTTCTGTGGGCTACATTTCCTCAAAGCCAGAAGTCAGGAACTATTACCAGCTGCCAGAATCATGGTATTCCCTGGATTTCAAAACAGTTCCTTGAGAAATACAGCTTTACCACTGATGATATAGTGAGAGCACACTTGGTATCATCTCTACGGCAATTGCAGAGGTTGTAATGTGGCTGTTAATAGAATAACCACTAATACAGTCTGAGGGCCCACTCTTCTCTACAGCTAGGGAAAGCAATTATGGAAGGCACTGACCAGCACACCCCTAACCCCTTCCCCAAGAGCTGACAGTCTGGCTGAAAAGTAGGTAGATTCAAATTATTAAATTCTCAGAAACTAAATATTTAGGTTAGAGTTGTGAATCAAAAGTCCAAGGACCAATTTTGCCCCATAAGGATTTTATTTCTAAAAATTATATTTAATGAGTTGCCTATCATTAAAATCAGAATGTACATATAAAAAAGATTTTTGGCTTCTCCACAAATCAGGTCTTATAACCCTGGACCCATAATCTCACATGTTGGTAACAGCCTTAGGGGAGACCAGCAAATCCCTTCACCAGACACATGCTCTGTGGTTCCCCTCCACCCTCACACCTACCTCCCTGCTAGCCTCATAGTCATACATGATGCCTGCCTTCTCTCATAACCCACAGTCTGCCAGCCCTTTGTGTCTGTTTTCACTTCCTTTCTTCTTTCTATGCTTCCTCCTACATACCCTGTCTTCCTTCCTTTCTTTGCCTTTGGCTCAAGCATTTCCACATATGAAATTACACAAAGAAGTTCAGCTAAAAGTAAAAACAATTGGACTGCTCTGATAGGATACAAGCCCTCCTTCTCCTTTTAGGTCAGTCCCTGAGAGTCCTCCACAGCCACCAGAGACAGACCATTGTAGGTAGTCTCAGGCTTACAGGGCACAGGCTGACATTGCTTTTCTAAGATTTCTCTAGCAACCAATTTTGGGTAAGAACTACATTACAAGATTCAAAGATGAATTCTCCTAGGAATGTGAGAAGTCTATATAGTTAGAGAAGGCAGATCCACATGTTTGAAGAGTCAAAGAAGCCCCAAGTTAACCTCATATATGAGAAGCAAACCTAGATATGTGCCTGAATAAAAAGCCACCCTATTTCTGACTTCTTTGTTTTTGAGACATGGTCTCACTCTATTACACAGACTATCCTCAAATTCAGTATCTTCTTGCCTCAGCCTCCCAAGAAGCTAGGACACAAGCTACTATGCTTGCAGGCAATTCCAATTTCTTTATAGGGAAAATTTCAGAATATTTTTGTGTGGAAATAAATTCATGCATGTGCACCTACATATATACATTCTTTAAATAAAGCACAGTATGATACTTTAGTAGTCAACACAGCCCAGAATGAGTTTCTTAAGGATTAATCTTTTCATTAGGTCGATGACAGCATTCAGAGGAGACAGCAAAGTTATAAAATTGTTTGCAAAACATATAAAGGTAAGCAGGGGGTCTGTGGTTTCCGATGGGGGCAGTAAGTGATCCCTAAGGCTCATTCCCAGATCTCAGCTTTTTCCTTTCCACCTCTTCTCACACTTCTCTGCAAATGTTTTCTTGGTGAAATATGTGACATGTTAGCAACCGTTCTAGTTGTCTTTGATTTTCATGCTTCCTCATACTTGCCCTCCCCGACAGCACCACTGCTCAGCTTGCTCCTTTCTGTACAGATGACATTTGACTCTTGGGCTCATTGATGGTTTACCAGTGTTCTAGGGAATTTTCTTCTTTTCCCTGGAAGCTGGTCCTAATCAAGAGTAGCCATATTTGTTGGCCAATTTTGAGATAAAGTGCCCAAAACTAGCTTGTCACCATTTTTTATTGTCATTTTATTTGTTCATTTGCATTTGTTTTGTTTTTGTCCTAAGGCAGATTCTTGCTACTGTTGCCCAAGCTGACCTCAAATTCATGATCCTCCTATCTCACCAATGAGTAAAGGTGGTAGCACCCTCCAGAACCCAGCTGATTATACTTTTTAAATGATTCTTCCTTTCCTTTCTTCTTTTTCATCTTGGACTAGATCCAGGAGCAGGTAAAGTTGCTGGAGAAGCGTGTGGCACATCTGGGCGTAGGAACTCCAGGGAGAATTAAAGAACTCATTAAACAAGGTATGAAATGAAGGCAGTGATACCACTACCCAGGCACAGGAGTTTACTCTAGTGTGAAGCTAAGAAACTACATTTGAGATAAAGACAAACAATCCTTTGTGTTCATTCCTTAATGGGAGGCAGAAACATTAGTCTCTGAAGCTACCCAGTGAATAAAATGCAATGAGTAGCAGTAAGGACTGTGACAAACTGACATCCATTTGCCCACCTAAACAGTCGGTACTTTGCTGTAAAAAGTTGGGGATCCACAGGGCCTTTGTCCATCAGTTTGCAATGTCTGGAATTTGTACAGGTGGATGTGTTGAGTATTTCCTTCTCAGATAATTGAGTCTTGGTTATTCAAGATTCTGATTTTATTTGTAGCTGATATATAAAACACAGACAAATAAAAAGGCTGTTTCTATGGTATTTCTTACCAACAGGATTTCTCTTTTAGTGTTGTACCTACCAACTATTCCAGACAACATCCATCAGTACATTTTTGTAGTTTATTGACTTTCTCAAAGCCTAATAACCTACTAACCTGAGATGATCTTGTTACTTGTTTTATCTAAAAGATTTAATTATTTTTTTCACCACTTATTTCTAAATCACTTTATATAGTAATAGAACTTTGTTGTGTCATTGTCTGGAGGCATTCCTGGAAAAATTACATAATGGTACTATGTTTATTAACATAGTAACTCAGTCCAGAGTTGATCATTTGCCAGGAAGCAACCAAAATCTTAAACTACTGGTATTTCTTTTGGATAAAAATCATCCAGGATTAATTGACTATGCTGTGTGCAAGAGTTCTGGCAAATACAAAGTAGTAAGAAATGTCTCTGACAAGAAGGAAACATTTTTTGAGTCCCTACTTAGAGGAACTTATGTGTGTTGTCTCATTTAGTACACACAACACCTCTCCTGCTCTCATTTTTTTATAAGAAAAAACTGAAGCACATTAGAAGGATTGTGACCAGCAAGGCCTCCACCAGAACTTCTGATTCTGACCCTTTTCTCTTCAATGATCTCCTGATCTAGTTGAAGAGCTCAGTGTCCTGAGAATGAAACTGACAACAAAAGGCAGTGAATGCCTTGTAGCGGGTTTGTATTGTCACTTAGTTATTGCGATATGATCAGGCCCACCATCTCCCAAATGAGTATACAGTGAAGGCTTAAGTAAGAGTCAAGTGCTATGATTTTAGGGCTCCAGGAGAATCAAAACCCTGTAACAGAATTTGAGATTATCTGGGGACTAAGACAAAGAACTTCTTTGAATGACCCATATTTATTTAGTTCCCAAACAAAGCAGGGGGGATGCTGAAGAAAGCTGGGAATCTGAGCAGGGCCTTGGAACTTCTCCAAGTAATACATTATGTCAATGTAGGAGAACTGAGTTATCTCCAGAAGGCCTTCACTGCAGGAATGAGATGTGTGCATCTACAGTCTCTCTCTCTAGTTAATTGAAGTTGGAAGTGGGTGTTCTTAGCTGTGGCCTTTTCTTGTCCTTTGAGACATCCCAGCTTCACCCATCATTACAGGCCTCAGGGGAACCAGTGACTCACAGAGGTTCACTTACTATGAGTCCATTGCCCCCTCCAGACAAGAAGCCTGGGCCTTGGACAGACTCGCAAGTAAATAAGGAAAGCCAGTTGGTTAATTTAAATTCTGCTCAGAGCTGCTTCCTAGTGGTCTCAGTCAGCCTTGAGCCTAGTGAGGTGAGCACTTCCAAGTCCTGGGGGAGTTGAAGTAGAGTCGTGGTTGCTAGGTTGCTCTGAATCTGGAGGGAAGTGTCTTTGCTCTTTGCATTAGGGGTAGATTAAGATGGGCAGGGAGGTTAGAGGACAGCATTCACATATACAAAATCAGACCACTTAGGGGGCTGGCGAGATAGCTCAGTGGTCTAAAGCACCTGCTTAGGCAAGCTTAGGTGAATGTGCGGGGACTGTGGTTTGATCCCCAGTACTACATGCAGTACCAGCCCCTCCCCAAGGGAGGGCTGAGCTGGCCACAAAAAAAAAGAAAAAAAATCAGCCCACTTAGAACAGGCCAGACAGATGCTCATGATGTATCCAGAGGAGGCAGTGAGGAGACAATACACTGGCAGTTAAGAGCCTCAAGCATGAACTCAGCCATCAGGATTCAAAGCCCAAGGGACAACTTAACCTTGGCAACTTTCTTAATCTTCCCAACCCTGTTTCTTTAGCTGAATGACAAGGATTCTGTGAAAATAAAATGTCAAGAAAGAGCTTGGCATAATGTATCAGACCCTAAGTACTCAAAAATTACTGAAGAGAGCAACATTTTTGCTGAGAGTGTTATGGGCTACAGTGCAGGTGATTTCACTGGAAAGTGATATTGTGGAGGAGGACCTTGAACAGTAAACTAAGGTTTAATTTTGTCTTATGGACAAAGGAAGGTACTGCAGGTTGAGGAACAGATGAGAGGTTCCAGTCATAGTCATGTGACACAAGGATTTGGGAAATCTTGGCATTGGGAAGGGCCAAGGACGGATACTCAGATTGATTCCAACTTTCCACACACTTTTCAGCTAGAGATTCACCTTTTACCTTTCTGAAATACAATACTTTTATTTTGTTTTGTTTTGTTGAGATGGGATCTCATTGAATCTCTAATTCAAACTGGCTTTACTACATAGCCCAGTTCTCATGGCAGTCCTGCCTCAGCCTCCCAAGTCCTGGTGCTACAGGCATGTGCCACCACACCTGGCTGAAATACAAGACTTTTATGTGTCACCAGGTAACCATTTTCACAGTGCAGTAGAACATTTTTGAGAGAGAGAGAGAAAGAGAGAGAGAGAGAGAGAGAGAGAGAGAGAGAGAGAGAGAAACAAAGAGAGAAACAAAAAGAGACTAGCTACCCAGACTATTGAAATTAGATTTCTATACAGCTGGTAGAGCTTAATATGAAGGTTTATTTCATGTGGAAAATCCATTTAAGGAGCTGTTAACTTTTGTAATATTAATGAAAATAATTTGTAATGATTAAGGCAAATGGTTTAATATTCATTAGCCATGATTTCTTTTAAAAACTGCAAAGGCCAGGGAGATAGCTCAGTAGAATAAGCGCTTGCCTGGCAAGTGCAGGGTCCTGAGTTCAATCCCCTGTACCACAAAAAAAAAAAAAAAAAAAAACTGCATACAGGTCAGCAAGATAGCTCAGCAGACTAAGCTCCTGCTTAGGCAAGCACAGGGACTAGGGTTCAATCCCCAGCACCACGTGGTGTGCTGAACTGGTTACCTCCAAGTCCAGGCACGGTGGCCCACGTCTGTAATCCCAGCACTGGGGAGGCTGAAAACAGGAGGATCACTACAACCTCGAGCTGCATAGTAAGACCTTGTACCAAATACATTAAAAAAAAAAAACCTGCTTACAAGTTTTTAAAAGAATAACCTCTAGAAAATGAAAATCTAACAAAGTGAGATTAAGAGCACATAACTCATTTTATGTAGCTGTTTATAAATTAAGATGTTGGTTTCTTTTTTTCTTTCTTTCTTTTTGTTTTTTCTCCTTTTTTTGGCGGAACTGGGATTGAACTCAGACCCTTGAGCTTGCCAGGCAAGCGCTTATTCTACTGAGCTATTGCCCCAGCCCTTCTTAAGATGTTTGTGTGGTTGAAATGTAAGGAAGATTTCCACACATTGGAAGATACCCCAATTGCAATTGCAACCTGAATTTTGTTGTTTTAATTTAATAATGAGGGGCATTTTCAGACTGTGAGTCAAGAAAAATACAAAAGGTACAGAGAAGAAAAATCATTTCAGGAGATAATCTCTTAACAGTTATAATGAATATATGTCCTTTCAGTCTTTTTTCTACACATGTATATATTTTTATAAAGCAGACATAGTACATCTCATACCTTTACAACCTACTGTTTTCACCTATATCATCAGACTTCATAAAGTAGTTTTAAGTTTAATATCTGTATCCTATCCCACTGTAACATATTTTGCAGTATTATATATGGTAGGCTAGATGAATCTCTTCTGATTTTTGTGATTACAGTGGTATCTCAGTCCACAAATTGAATTCTTTCTCTGCTTGTCAACCGAGGAACCATGGTATCCATAATACTGCACTGGTCATCTTTGCAAGCAACCGTGTCTTAAGTTTCTAGGGAGCATCACAAAGGAAAACCATTTTGTCAGATAGTGAGCTGTTTAAAGCTCTCATGATGTGATGCCAGCTTTCATTCCAGACTTGCACTTGTGTGCTCTCTACCAGCAGTGAGTCGTTCTTAAGAAAAGGAAAAAAAGAAAAGACTGACTGGCATCCTGTTGTCTCTCCCAGTTTATTGGGTTGTTTTGTTTTGTTTTGTTTTGTTTTGTTTTGTTTTGTTTATTTTGTGGAGAAATTTTTAAATAGAACTTTTAAATAATTTTAAATGTTTAAATATAAGAGAAATGAGAAAGTATTGGGGCTGGAGAGAGGAATATTGAAATAGCAAAGGGAAATGCTGAAAGGAAATTCCCCAGGCAGAGGAACGTTCAGGCCTTGTGTGCAGATCTGACGATTAATTACTTGGAGCAGTGGGAAGAACTGTGTGCCAACTCAAAGCCCTCTGAGAGGACTCAGCAACCTCTGAAGTCCCCTTCAGCCCTCACTTTCAAAAATTGCTTTTCAGGTATACAGGAAAACAGGGGATGGAGTCTAAGTTAGTAACCACCCTTATCAAAAGATAGCGGACTTAATACCTACTCCTCTGGACTTCCTTTTCCACCTAAAACCTGCCTGCCCTCATCCTTCTCCCCATTCACCTCCTGTCATGCGGACTCTGTTGCACTCAGCTCCTCTGAAAGGACACTGGCTCCAGTTTCAGGATAGAGTTTATCACATCCTGGCTGGAAGAAGGTGCTGCATTCTGGGGTTCCATGAAATGGAAGCCTGTCCAGGCAGTGCATGGGCCTGCATGGGCCCGACTCAGCTGGAGAAGACCCTCTGCCTTCCTTAGAGACACTGAGAAGGCTTTTAGGAGAGTTAGTCCCAGATGCTGCCTCGGTTTCCCATCAGCCCTGGACAGTACTTAGTGTGCAGGGATTAGTTGTTGGGGGAGAGGACAGCAAATGAGGCAAAAAGCAACTGGCAAAATCATTTTAATAAGTCTATTTCATGAGGTCTCTACTTACAACAGTTTTCTTACTGTCTCTTTCAGGTGGCCTTAACTTGAACCCCTTAAAGTTTCTGGTGTTTGACTGGAACTGGAGAGATCAGAAGCTGCGGAGAATGATGGACATTCCCGAGGCAATTGTCTTTCTTACCTTTTTTTTCAACTTGAACTTGAGTTCAGACATAACAATAAAGCCTTTGACATGGGAGCCAGCACATTCTGGCTTTTAAAATGATTTCTGTCTTTTAAATCAGAGGTAACTGCGGTTGTGTCAGCCACCTCATCCCTGCATGAAGTCCTTCCCATGTACTATAGCAGTCAGCTTTGTTGTTCAGTAAATGACCACTGGCCCCTTCTCCCCTGGAAGGAAAACCTGCATTTTACCTCCAAGAGCCCAGAAGATCTGAAGGACTCAGTACTTTTCCTGTGCCTTCTTTGCCTTTCATCCTCATCTGTGTAATTTTGGTGGAAGAAGAGGGACACAAACTTGCTTTATTGCTATCATCTCCACATCCTCCAAAACCCACTTACTTAATTTAGAACGATCTTTTGGTTTTGTGGGATGGGAAAATTCCTTGATGTCTCTGTGGATTAGAATTGGATGATTGAATGCCTTTGGGGGCACAGCATTAGTTCATTGCATATTTATGAAAACCATTCATTACTGTCATAATGTAAAAAATTGATGTTGCTGCCACCATGTGATTACCCACCCATGATAGCACAGGACCAATATTTCAATCTAGTCTTGATTTTTTGAAGTAGCTGTGAGGAAAAAAAGGGTTTACTCAATAGGCTGCCTGTCACCAGCCAGGAGTAAATATTGGCAGTAACTTCCGAGGAAACTTAGAATGACTCCTCCCCTCCAGACATGCTGACTAAATTAATTTACCATATGTCCCTAGATTAACCAAACCTGATTTATTGATGAGTTATATTAGACATCAGTTCAGGTTCAAAGACAATTCACTCTGTTTCATACATACACACACACACACACACATATGCAACCATGCAGCCTGCCCCTTGGTTTTTAAAAACTAGTTAACAAATTTGATGTCAAGTACATGAAGCTATATTTCTATTTTTTAAAAATCTGAGTAATCTGCTAGTTTTCTGATTATAATCACGAGAAATAATTCAGAAACATCTTTGTCATCATGGGCATACCTGTATTCCCAGGAGTCTGGGGGACTGAGTTAAGAGAATTACAAATGTGAGCCCTGCCTAAGCAACTCAGTAAGACCCTGTCTCAAAAAAAATTAAGAAAAAAAAGTTCCAGGATTCAGGGTCCCCAGTCCAGGGTTATAGCTTAGTGCAAAAGGCATGGGTCATAGACAGCACTCTTTGAGGTTCTTTTTTTTTTTTTTTTTTTAAACATTTATTTAGTGTGTGTGTGTGTGTGTGTGTGTGTGTGTGTGTGTGTGTGTGTGTGTGTCTGTGTGGCCAACTCAGCCCACCAGGGGGCGGGGCTGGCTGGCATGTGGCGCTGGGGGATTGAACCGTGGTCCCTCTGATTTGCTTAGCTTGTTCTAAGTAGGTGCTTTAGACCACTGAGCCATCTCACCAGCCCTCTTTGAGGTTCTTAACCCATGTTTGTATGACATTTTATTTTGAATGGCTGCAAAATGAAAGACATAAAACTGATGTTTCACAAAGTGCCTCTTCTTATGTGACTATTTCAATTTAGAATCAAGTATGGGTTAAAAACTTGCTGTCTGCTTTTGGCTGTAGCAGCTGTGTAATACTCAGGAGCCCAGATGGTTGAATTCTTTTACCAAGACAGACCATCTTTACTTGATCTTAACCTGTTTTACTTTGTTTTTTCCTCTCATTTAGGTAAGGAAGGAGGTTTTCGAACTTTTAGAATTGGGAATACTCAGCCTATGCAAGTCAGAATCCTTGAAGCTGGGACTTTTCTAATCCTGGATCCTAATGAAGATTACAGTTTTCAGAGTGGAACTTGCATCTTACTTAATGACATGGGTATAAATCAACTATTTCTTTCATTATGTTAACTGTATTACCAGATACATCCCTGGGAATGTAGGGAGTCTCTAAAAGAATGAATCTGTGGTTTTGCCTAGTCCCTGTAGAATAAAGAATCACCAGCTTGTGTGTGAACTTTGTAGAGTGGCTGAGCTCTTTCCTCATCAACTGTCTTATTTTTTGGGTGTGTGGAAATGGGGATTGAACTCAGATCCTTGCACTTGCCAGGGAAGTGCTTATTCTACTGAGCCGTCTCCCCAGCCCCATCATCAACTGTTTTCTGCTGTGACTGTGGGAGACAAGAAATTGTAGCTGAGCAGCCTAAGGAAAGCTCCTTTCCTCTCTGTGCCTCGGTCTCTCATGTGCTTGAAAATGGAAATGTCTCACAGCTCTGTTGAAAATTTTGTGAGATCGTACCAGCAGAGCAGGTTTCTAAACTATGAAACAGCACCCCAACATGAAGAATACCCAGTAAGAACCACAAACGTGTGTGGAACTTTATGGACATATAAGAGATAATATAGCTACAGCTTCTCAGTCACTCTTTCATCCCTAGAATGAAATACCCTATACCTGCAACATCAAGGCAAGGAGGTTGATCTGGGCTCTCAGTTTTAGTCCATGGCCAGGTAGCTATGAGGCAGATACAGGCTACAGAAGGCCTGTAGGCAGGGAGAAAGGCGGAACAGGGAGGGGATGAATCCATAGATACACACATCACCCAAGAGCCAGTCCCCTTCCAGCAGCCCCGCCTCTACATAAGCCTTTTTGGGAAACATTCTAGATCTAAATTCCCTTACAAAAATTCTTACTCATTTTTATAGCTTTATATTTTAAGTAATTTCAGACTTACAGAACAGTTGCAAAAATAACAGATAATTCCCACATACCCATCCCCCAGCTTCTCAACATTAACCCCCTGTATAACCATGAAATAGTTGTTTTTTTTTTTTTTTAAGTGTATATGCTGCTTAATGACAGGTGGTTCCAAGTCAGCAAATAGGGTGACTACAATATGAGAAACTACTTTGGCAGTAGCAATACACAATGTACTAACCATTGTTACTCTCCTAAAATCTTGTTTTGAGATTTTGTACCATTGTTTTTATTTTTTTCTTTAAAATAAAAATAACTGATAAAAAAAAAAAAATAGGGTGGCTACAGTGGGATTCCTTATTTTAAGAACATCTACTACATTTGGAAATGAGACTAGAGTGGCTGCACAAGAGGCCACTGGGTGACTTCCCTCATGAGTCCCTCGCCACTATTGGAAGGAAACCCCCTAGCCTGTGCCTTGCCACCCCAGGACACACAGGTAGTGAGGGCATCAACTAGGTATTGGTATGGTCATTTATAAGAAAGAAAAAACACAAGGCCATGGGCAAGATCTGTGTTGCTGGCAATGGTGGCAGAGACAGCAGAGGGCCTAGCTGTCAGCCATGCCCTGTCCCCTGCCCTCTGCCCTCTGCCCCCTGACTCATACCCACCCCAAGATTGTGGAAGAACACCAAGAAAGTGACCCTCATGGGCCTGCTGCTCTAGGCTACCTCAACACAATTAGGAGACAAGAAAGCTGGCCCAGGCCAGGTCTGTGTCACAGTGATGGTGGCCTGGCATACTGGATGGCATCCAGCGCAGCCCCAGTGTCCTAATTCTTGGTCTGCAGGAGCCAGGCAATCCAGAACCTTCATCTAAGAACCCAATGGACAGCATCTGTGACAGGGACTCGATCAGGTGTGGGTCAGCCTCTGGTGGGAGATGAGGGTACAAGGCCGCCTCCAGCCCTGTGGGCTCCTCCTGAGCAGGGTCCAGAACTTAGCCCTTCTGACTCTGACATCTGGAGAGACTGCTCCCCTTGGATGGCTCTACTTCCTTTGAGGACAGGTGAGTTCCAGTCCTCATCTCCACCCAAACGATTGTCCGATTCCATCTGTTCCTCCATTTGCCCCGCGGACTCCAGGACCATCATCTTCATCTGCTCTTCCAGGGACTGTGTGGTGCCATCACCATCATGTTTTTGAGGTTCAGAAGAGCAGCTGCTGGGCTGGGAGCTGCCCTTGTCCTCGGTGCAAAGCTTTCGGGGGAGATGAGTGTCAGGTGGCTTCTCTTTCCCCCCCCATGCTCAACGTCAGTATCTTCCTCAGTGCCCAGAGGGTGGAGGGCAGCTGCCACGTTCTCCCCTATGTTCTTCAGGAAATTCACTCTGGGATCTTCTGATGGGCTGGAAGCTGATTCCAAGGCAGAGCTGGAGCAGCAGTCCCCTGCTCGAGCAGGACGAGGGCTCCAGTTGCCTGGAGGGCCTTATCTCCCAACTACCACACTAGCCCTGGCTGTGCTGCAGCTTCGCGAACAGGTGGCTGAAAGGCAAGCCCTCAGCACAGTGTTCCAGGGGACTGGCCAACGCGATCTTGCCGTGCTCGCTGTGAATGCCTTTCCCCTCGCACATGTCACACAGGTTGTAGTTCGAGCACACGCTGCACTTGTAGCAGGTTCCCACCACAGGCCTACCACAGCCATCGCAGATCACATTGGGGTGTAACATGGGGCGCATCATGCCCTGAGCACAGTGGGGGCGATGCTCCCTCCAGTACTCCTCTTTAATGTAGATGCAGAAGATGTCATCCTTCACATAGGATAAGGCCATGGTCAGCTCCTCACTGGAAAAGGCAACCAAGTCCCCATCCTCATCACGGTAGTGCGCCTAGAAGCCGCCGGTCGTAGTGCCAGGAACAGGGCAACCTCCCGGCACGGCAGCCGCTCGCTCGCAGGGCCTGGGGACAGCCACCCGCACCTCGTCCCCCGTCTGCAACTGGGGGATGAAGCTGAAGCTGAAGCTGAAGCAGTGGATCTCACACGCTGCCTCCTCCTTTCCCAGAAGACGGGCCTTCAGGGTGAGCGACACGGTAACGACTGCAAGAGCACTGAGCACAGCAGGACCCATGAAACAGTTTTTAAAAACTTAAGTCAATAGCAGTACAATATAGTTAACTATTCTGTAGACTTTATTCAGATTTTACAAGTTTTTCAAATGAGGTCTTTTTCTAGCCTAAGATCCATTCCAGGATCTCATGTTATACTTAGGTATGATGTCTCTTTACGGTGGTATTTCTCATTCTTGCCTTCTTCATGACCTTGATACTTTTTTTTTTCAAAGTTTTATTGA